GCAGTGAGCAGAGGKCAAGGACAGGACCTGGCATGGGGCACAGCCCTGCAAAGGTTCTTCCCCTGTGCTCTGTCCCCACCTGAGACCCTGCAGGAATCCTTCTCCCACTGAGTTTATCAGCACATACCAGAGCAGAAGTGACCCCAATAGGGGCAGAGTTAAACGCAGAGCCCTGCTCCCTCACCCCATGTATATGAATTAGGGCTGTAATTCCACCCTGCAGTGTGGATGGCAATAGTGAACGCACACTGCCRGAGCCATCTCACAGACATCTGAGCTTTGACCCTCTGTTTTATGACTTCCCCGCAGCCCTCAGTGGGATGACATGCAGCAATAGGCAGCGAAGGAGTGCCTGCACTCGCAAAAGAATGACAGGCCCCTTATCTGTGAAGTTTCCATTCTTCAGATACAGTTTTCAAACAAAAGGCTCCACTCCTCCGATGAGTAATGCCACTGTTTCTCCTCTCCACCGTACAATTAATTTCCAGGCTGGGATTTCTTCAGAATTGAGCTAAGAATGGCATAAACCAGAGAATACCAGTGAATGTTCTGTGCACCGGGGCTGCTCTGGTGATTTATCTCCTCTCACACAGTCTGTCAGTGCCCTGCAGTGGAGAAATGGGTTAATTGCAAACGGCTCATGGGCACTGCCCATGACACACCTGCACACCTCAGGGAAGGGACAAACACAAAGGGGGTCCCAGGCAGAGCCCCCAGCCCCTGCTCTGTCTCACCCCTGCCTGACTTTGGATCCTCTCCTTTGTTCCAGCCAGGAGCAGTCTCCGTCTCTTCCTGCTGAGCCAGTTGCTCCTGTTACGTGAAGAGGTGGAGGTGTATGCAAAAACAGCCCGTCTGGGTCAGGGGAACACCGATCTTCCTGGGCTCCCCTGCTACCCTTCCCAGAGCCACGTGGGGTTAGAATGCTCTGGCCCTCAGCAGGGAAGCACTTCAGTGTCCTGCCTTGCATCTTTCCACCAGGTAAGTRCTCCCACAAAAGCCAAAACTATTGTTGACAGCTCAGGATGAGCAGGAGGAAACAGGAAGAAGCTCCCCACACACCTCARGCACTGAGCACTGCAGGAAGGTGCTCCACTGCCCACTGCATATAATCTGCGCAAAGGAAAGCAGGAAATCCTCCCACTCCCCATCACCACCGCGGCAGCTGTCCTTAAAAAGCTCCTTTCCCACCTCTTCCTGCTCATCTGCCATGGAAATCAGTGCAGAGCTATGCAGAGAGCAAGTGCCTGGCTCAGAGAACAGAGCGGGCACAGCCCTGGCACTGCCTTCCCAATAAAACCCCACTGGCTGTGGGACCCCACTGCTGCCTCTCCCATCATCAGGCTTGACTCAGAAGCCAGGCTGGGAGAAGGAAAGCAGGAGAGAGAGTCCTGATTTAAAAGGAAAAGTCTGTAAAACACACAGATCAATGTTTTTGACCACTGCTCATGTCTTTGTGAAGGCTGAGTTCTGCCAGGCTGAAAGAACATTGTCCCTCCGAGGGGGCACAGAACCTGTGGGATAACCCCATGGTGTCCACACCATACTTYTTCCTCCAGAAAGGAGAAATTTGAGAAGGCAGAGACCATCAAACCTCAGCTGCTGAAAGCCAAGAAATCCTTGACTTAAAAACAAGGATAATTGAGCGTCAAATTTGTATGTATAATGCTCTCCAGTAGGAAGGAGTTGTTAGATTGCACCGTCACGGAGGGTTCAGTGCAACAGAGGGAAGAACCAGTGGGTGTGGGATTGTTACCAGTTATATAATCCCCAGTGGTTTTTCCTGCACTGGTTTGGATGAAGACACTGCCCTGTCCCGATACCAGCGCTATCAGCAACGGCACATGGTCAGAGCTGGGGGGCTGYGGGGAGGACAAAGGGATGCAGATTTCCTGGGAGTCTGCTTTTGTTTTCCCAAGCAGAAGAGTGACTCAGATTTCAGCGCACTCCTGTAACTCAGCCAACAACAACACGTCCTTAGTCACGGCGATAAAGCCGAGGATCTCTGTTCTATTTGCTGAACTAWAAAAAGCTCAAACTCATCCACCCAAGGGCCAGGTCAGTCGCTAAACCAGAGACTGCGCTGAACCCYGAGCTGTGCACGGTGACGGCAGCATCTTCCTCCCTAACAACCTTGCTGAACTCCTGGAAACCACTCAGAAAAATCCACTGAACCAGCACGGATAATCTCAGTGCTGCACTATCTCAGAGAGCTCTCTGATAACTCCTAARCACTCACATGTCATTCCAACACGGCTGCCAAAGCCTTGCAGAAATGCTTTCACTTCCTGAGAAATGCTCCAGGAAAAAGCACGCTACTTCCTTGTGCTTAAGGACTGGCTTAACACATCCCTGCGCTGTTGTCTCCTGGATCTGAGCTCGTTTTTCATGGCTGTGAGCTACATCCACAGCTCATTGGAAATGCCAGAGCACGGATTGCTCCACCTCAATCATCRCACTCAAAGCTAGCAAAAGGAGGACTGACAGAGGGCAGGTTTAGATGGGATTTTAGGAAGAAATCCTTTTCTGTGAAGGTGCTGAGGCCCAGATTGTCCAGAGAAGATGTGGCTGCCCATCTCTGGAAGTGTCCAAGGGCAGGTTGGACAGGGCTTGGAGCAAACTGGGATAGTGGGAGGTGTCCCTGCGAACGAGATGGGCTTTAAGGTCCCTTCCAACCCAAACCACTGATGCATGAGCCATTAGCAGCTAAATGCATCAGCCCCAGCTAGCAAAATCCCAGTTGTACAGTCCTCCAGTGCTGCTGGCTGGGTTGGGACCCAAGGCTGTGAGCCCCTTCCTCTGCATAATTCGAATGGTGGTACCTGTGCAAACTGTGCCTCTCTGCAGGATTTGCCCAGGGATTGTGACAGCTGTGGATCAAACTTTGAATTTTCAGCTTCATTTTCCTTTAGAAAAGGCCTCTCTGAAATAGGTGCTGGAGCAGCTTCAGGCAGCAGAGGCAGCRTGGGGTGGTGCCAGGACAGCACCCACCTGGGCAGATGTTTGTGCCAGGACTCAGCGTGTCCAGTCATGCATGTTAACAAGGGCTATAAATACTCCGGGTCCTTCCTGGTCCCAGTGCCACGTGCCTGAGCCTGGCAGGAGGGTGTGTGAGGACGAGCACTCAYGGCTGGGCTCACCAGCACAGTGCCCCCAGCACACCCAGCCACCACTGGGCTGCCCCAGGCACGGGCAATGACCAAACTGGTTCATCCTGGGAGCCAAAGGATCGGGCTCATGGAGCAGAGGATCAAACAGAGCATGGAAAGCACTGGGGCTGCCACCATCCCTCAGAGGAGCTCCCATAATCCAACCCCAGSTGATGGTGAACATCTCGTGAAGAGYCYTTGTTGGTCAGGRWYTGGAATSRTTTCTCTTCCTCCACAGGACAGAGCTGCCACTTTTCCTGCTGGCTGCTGCCTCCTGCACTGTGTGGAGGTGGCAACTGATGGAAATTTCCATGCACTTCAAAGCACAACCTCAGGACAGCTGCTTTTGTGAGAAACTATCCCATGTTAAAAATTAATGAAATTCACTTTTAGGATCATTTACTTTCCTCCATCMGAGCGGCAGGATTTTTGCCAGCCTCTCCGCACAGGAACACAGAGCATYCCTGCTTTGGCACCTTGGGGATGTGGCCTCTGGCAATTAGGTTGCCAATTAATATCAGGTAATTAACACATTTGCAAGGGTTGGTTGAATCCCACCCTGACATTTTGCAAACTCTGCGTGTTTGGGGAGTGTCTTCGTCAGCTTTTGAAGTTCTGAGCTGTGAGCTCCCTGCAAACCTCAGCCTGCACTGGAAACCGGGGCTGGGCCATTAGAGCAAACACGCCTCAAGAAGCAAACATATTAAGGATTAATTAAATACCAGGATTTATTTAATTAAGCCTCTTCTCATAAGTATTTAGAGACAGGAATCTGGAGTGAGCATCCAGCCTTCCTTGCACTCCTGGTTTCAGAAATGAAGTTAAACTGAGTGCTGCTTCAAACACGACCTTGGGGTGATGTGGAGCCCCAACAGCAGGGCAGGAACCGACACCACAGAAAGGTGGCTGATGGAATTCCCAGGGTTGGGGAACCTCTTCCCTATTCCCACACAACACCCCACCTTGGGAGAGCTGGAAGGCCCACAAGCACCCAAAAATATTCTGGAGTCTGGAGGGTGACAAGAGCCATCCCTGAGCAGGGGCAGGGACAACAGGCAGCTTGTTCTCCTCACGTTTTTAATGAAAAACTTGTCCCTCCTGTTCCCTGCAAGAAATCCTATCACTGCCGGTTTAAAGGTCTGGAGATTGATCCAGGAAATACTGAGGCAAGCAAATKAAATCAAGTCCAAGGTCGTTTTGGGCACCGTTGCAGAATGCACGGCCTCACCTCCTGCACAGCTCACCTGGCAGCACAGGATCACACACAGGTACAAACCATCACCACAATGTCCCTCCCAGCTCTGGGCTGGCCTGTGACAGGGTACTGTCACCTCCCCATCTGCTCTGGCTGGGGCAATTCACTCCACACAGCACCGAGGACATGGCCCAGCCCTTTTCCTCCTCTTCGATTGCTCTGTTTCACCATCGGTTTAAATTCTTCAAATTATGGGGGGTACAGCAAGAGGAAGGGTGGAGGTGACAGTGCCAGCAGAGCCAAGGAGGTGACACTGCCACAATCTGCCTGGAGGGACAGGGCCAGGACAGCAAGAGGACAGAAGAGCCCAAGGGATGGGGATGGGGAAAATGAGGGTGCAAAAAGGGGCCCAGGTGACAGCAGAGCCCCCAGGACAGGGGACACTCACCAAGAGCAGCAGAGAGCTCTGGGATCTGGGAGCAGTGTGGAAATAAAAAGCATTTTGGGCACTCCCTGCTCAGGGTATCCCCTTTCACTGCCTTCCCAGCCAGAAAGAACCACCAGGATCTGATTGAWTTGAAAAGAGACATTAACCATAGAGAATAGAGCTTTAATTTTTCTTTCTGAACAACGATAAGGAACAGTTTACATTTAAAAAAAAACAAAAGCATGAATAAAATAATATAAAACAGATATTATACCACAGTGTGGAATTCAGATAATCTAGGAACATTAGCAGCACTTCTACAAATTGATTAAAAGCTGTTAAGTGCTCGTKAAGCTCAGATCGAGCAACTCCCAGAGACCAAAATGGCATCCAACAGAGAAAAGCAGCAATTCTGTGTAGGGCAACAGAAAAGTCTAATGCAAGGACACCAGATACATTCAAATCCCTGTCCTGAGGGGTAATTCCCTGTCCCACAGAGCCCCCACGATGGCTGTCACATCCTGTCACCCTGACCAGCTCTCCAGAATATTCCTTGAACAAGGGAAGTGACAATCGTGGGTCTGAGGTTACATCCACGTTGCATTTTCAAAGCTTTTCATTAATTCTGTTTGGGAAAWCAGTTTCTTCCCTGGCTTCTGGGAATCACTCTCCAGAGAGCCTGAATTTCTGAGAATTTGAGTCAATCTTACGTAGTCACAACAATGACATTTTTAATCTTACACTATCCAAGATCAGGATTTTCAATTCTTTATCATCTTTAGCAGCAAAGCCATACCCATTCCTAAAACTTCCACRTATTTAACATCTTGTGCATAGTTTAAATTTTAGCATTAATTAATTAAAAAAAATACATTTAAAAAAAGGATAAATGGTGCTTTTTTCTTGTTATCAAAGCACTGATGCAAAGTGCCCTTGTTCCCAGTCCTGTCCCACTGCTGATGGCTCAACAGCCACCGTGGAGAAGGGACCGTCCCCTGCAGCGCCATCCGTGGGCTCTGCTCAGCCTCCATGTGCAAAATCCATCTATAAAAGGAAGCYATTAAACTGCTGAATGGGAATTGAAGGTGGAATATGCTTATCATGAAGCTAAAATTAAATTAGAGATTAGATTAGACACATTAAAAGWCTTCCATGGCTATTCCAACCGTGTACATTCTCCGAGAATTTCAGGATTYGGGTGAAGTAGAGAAGGAATCCACACACTGAGGTGTGTGAAATGTGTGGCTATGGCACCAATGGCCTCAGCTGTGACCCACGTGGCCACCAGAGAACAGAAACGTGGTGTCACCCAAAAGTTCAGATGCCTTAATCTGTGAAATATTGATTATTCAGGGCAGTGAGGATGCTGATCTTGAGTGAGATTACTGGAACAGCAGGAACATTCAGAGGCATTTGCTCCACTTCAGGGAGTCTGAAAAAGTTTTATAGGAATTTTTGACAGGTTCTGGTGAGTTCCAACCCTTCTACAGTGCTGGGAAGGGTTGGGACTCCATCCCTACATTGTGCTCTATCAAGTTTGTGCTCATRTGACAATAAAGTGCTGAAGACAAGTCCAGAACTGCTCAGCACTCAGGGAAATTCCCAAATGGAATGAGAAAGAAGAGGTTTTGACAACATGGCCATCATTTTGGTCTTACTGATCTGAGGCTCCCACTGGCAACAGCAGTGCCTGCAGAGAACAGTGATTTAAATATTATAAGATATTTCAAAAGCAAACTTAGGTGATGAGAATCCCAAAACTGGTCMCATCCCTGGTCAGAGGCACATGGGGCCACAGCAGCTCYCAGGGCAGAATAAACTGAGAAAGAGGGAAAATAGCCCAACAAAGAAAGTAACAAATAAATAAAAAACAAAGAATAAGAAGAACTGCTCTTGGCCACAAGGCTTCTGTCTCCAGGGTGGGATTTTGGGATGAGATCTGTGATCCCCACCCACCTGTTCAACAGTTCCATCTCTCAGCCTTGTTTTTACCTGCCAACCTGCAGTTCCAGTGCTGGCTCACGTTGCACTAGAAGGTGCATTTGGATGAGTTAAGGGATGTTCACCAAACCAGAGGCCAGATGAGAGCAGGACAGGGAATCAGCAACAAATTCCCACACAAAAAACCATCTCAGTCTTTATGAAAAACATTCACATCAAAACGACTCAGAGACTCAACACAGCAAGAGAAAAACTCCTAGAAAAACCACATATTTAGGAACAAACACAATTTTTAAAGGGTCTGCACAGGTGACACCAAAAGAGATGGGTACCAGGAGCTCRTTGGAAGGTTGCAYGAGCAGGAAGCTCAAATGCAGGAARAGAATCCATTTGTCACTCCCTCAGGGGAACACGGGGCCAGGACACAAACACTCAGAGGATTTACACACACTGAAGATTATCTGAGCTCAGCAGCTTGAACATGAGACAAACCCCAAACCCCACAGCAATATGGGTGCTCAGTGAGGGTGTGATGGGAGCTGAACTCTCAGCCCAKGGAGCCCATCCTTCACTCTCAGCTCTGGAGTGACTGGAGCAGGGAACATGGGCTGGCAGCACGTGGGGTTCAACCCTTGCTGCACCCAGGGGAGAATGCAGCGGTCTCCTCAGAAATTGTGGAGTCACAGAATGGTTGGGGTTGGAAAGAAAATTAGAGACCACTTAGTCCCACCCCCTGCCATGGGCAGGGACACCTTCCACTAGCCCAGGCTGCTCCAAGCCCTGTCCAACCTGCCCTTGGACACTTCCAGAGATCCAGGAGCAGCCACAGCTTCTCTGGGCAGCCTGAGCCAGGGTCTTATAGTGAAGAACTTCTTCCTAAAATCYAATCTAACCCTGCCTTCTGTCAGTTTAAGGCACAGAGCTCCAGTCCCTAGTCCCACAGAGCCAACAACAAAATAGTCCTAGTGCCATTATGGGGGCAATTTCAGCTGCAGAGCTGCTGCAATGAGCCATTCCAGACAAGATTACTTTATAAGGACAAGCATTCCCTGGTGACTGGCCTCTCCTGCGTGGCAAACACGCCATCCTTGGCTGCACAGCTGGGAGAGATCCCCGCTGGCTTCCACAGCYACATTTCTCACTGCCAGGATTCCAGAACAAGGCTTTGTCTCATGGGGATGCAGCAGCGGGGCAGAGCCAGGCAGGAGAGGCCAGAGAAGACCCACAAACAGCTGCACAGCAAAATATTTGYTTTTCAGCTTCTTAGCAGCTTTCAGCCATCAAAGAGAGCCCCRGGCTCCTGGTGGTGCCTCACTGGGGGTGTCCACAAGCACAAGAACCTGCCCTGGGGAGCTCAAGACACTTTGAAAAGATGCCCAAAACACAGCTGGGTCAGGGGCAGAATGCAGGGCTTGTTTCTGATCTCCCAGGAACACACAGCTGGACTCCATGTCCAGACTCAGAATTTTTGGGAGCAGATGGTTCTCCTGATGCTTTCAGGAGCTGGGGTGGAGCTGTGTTTGGGGTTGTGCCCATGGCAGGGCTGGGCTGGCCTGGAGTGGGCCAGGCACAATCCATCCCCACTCTACCCCCAAAAGAGAAAGCTTTAAGTCCCAAATTAAATGACAGACCACRTTCTTTGGACTATCCAAAGTTGGGTTTCTTTGCAACCCAACCAAGCCTGAACTCCACAACTATCCTCAACCAGCAAATCCCCGGACAAGGCACAAAACCCTGCACAGCACAAGCAACACAACTGAAACAAAGTTTTTATATTATCTTTCCCTCCTTTTTTTTTTTTCCTGTTGTCCAGTCCTCAAGTCWGAACTGAGATGAAGCCAAACTGAGTTTGTGACTGTGGCTCTGCCCTGAGCTTCCTGTTGCCCCACCAGAACAACTCTCCCGGCACAGGGACAGATTGGCACATCATGGAACAGGTGCTATAGAAACCACACAGTTCTCAGAAGCAAAAAATTTCTCACTCCCCCCCACCCCTCAAAAAATAACCCACTTAGTTCACATATTTTCTCTCTATGCTGTATATATATTATATATAGACACGATTCTCTGGTAAACATTTACAAGATATCGTAAATAACATTGAAAATTTCTATCTCCATTTGCACAACAGCGCGCACTCACACGCCAGCACACAAGGACACACAGTCAGGTACAATCAATAAATAAATACTTTTTTCCCCCACCCCAAGAAATTATTCAAAAAACACTGCTATTGAGCGGCCCAAAGACACTCTCAGTTAATACAGACAGCAAATATTGTGCAGAATTTCTTGGCTGTTTTTGTTTAAAAACCAAGGAAAGAAGCTTGAAAGGTTACGTGTCGGCGACGTTGCTTGGTCAGAGAGTGTTTCAGRTGACCTGTGGGTCCCTGTCCCTCAGGAAGGGGAGGAAACAGCCCTTCCCTTTCCCTCTAGAGAGGTGACACAGACCTGTCCTAGAACCTTGAGGGAACAGGAGCAGCCTGGGAAGGAAGGAGGACACGAGCTTTTTGCTCTGCGTGGTGGAAAGATGAAAAATTCTCAGAGGAACTGGCAGATCTCAAGTTGTTTGCTGTGCTGCTCCAGCCCAGCACCCTTTGGGGTTTTCCTGCTTTGAGGAATTTCCCAGATTCTTGTCCCAGATATCTGTTGGGATTATGAGGAGTAAATCATTGCTCTCCCTTGCCCCAGCCCCTTCCCCAAAGGGTTCAGGATGCACCACAGAAAGTGCTGCTTTGCTCAGGAACAGCCAGCCACTCCACCACGCTCCTCAGACCTTCCCCGAAGCAGTAGTTTTTTTCTGGTGCAGATTGACAATCACCTTTTTTCCACCAGCAACATCTGACACGTGCCACGAGCCAACACAAACCAGCACAGAGAGACGTTCCACAGGAGAAGGAAGGGCCCCTTTCCCTCCCATGGGAGCRCTCCAGCAGCAAGGCAGGAGCAGGGCCAGAGGAGAGCACACACACAGCACACATTGCACCAAGGGGGAACACAAATTTTTGCAGCAAAACTTGAGAGAAAACTCCCTTTTAAGAGAGGTCCAACCCAGCGCCCTCAGCACTGCCCTCCCCAGCTGGGCTGGACTCTCCATCCACCCACCCCTCTCCTTTTCCTGCAATTTTTTATACCTGAGTTGAAAAATGACTCTGGAGCCTCTGCGGGGCAGCCTGTGTGGGACACAGCAGCTGGAGAGGCACTTCATGCAGTGGGATCCAGGCTGTGCCTCTGGAGCCACTGCAGGAAAAGTGGCCACACATTTTCCCAAAGCAAAGACCACTCAGGGACCTCGGGCAATTCTCCTCTCACAGGCCTGTGGGAGAAGCCCACCRAGATCTAACTGGAGATGCTCAGTGGGTTTAGGGGACTCAACAGCCAGCCCTGAAGCATATGAGAAAACCACCTGGGCACCAAGGGGATCRTTTGAGCTGTTGAGTGACTGTCAGAGGGAAAATCAGGATGATCAGGAGCTCTGACTTGCCTTCTGAGGAGTTCTCCCCTCACAGAAGCTCAAAGGAACAATGAAGAGACTCCTACCATGAGCAGCTAGAGTAAGGCAGGTAAGGAAACCTCCAGCCTGGAGTTCCCAGAGGAGGTCAGGACCAGATTTCCCAGCATTCAGAGAACATTACAGAGGCTGGATTTTGAAAAATAACCCCAATGCTGAATTTGGAGCTGTTCTGAAAATCCATCCCGAGATGAAGCTCTTGTGTGCTCAGATATTGTAGGAACAATGGAAAATTTCAGGGAGAAAACAAGAGCCCAAAAAAAAACAAAATACTGACGGGGATGCAATGCATCACAGGACAAGATCAAAAGAGGAATTTCTGTGATCAAAGCCCCCCCCTGTTCCTGGCAGAACCTCGTTGTGTTGGTGAGAAGCTGAGAACTGRCAGCATCCCTGCAGGGCTGGCTGCCTTCCCACACCACAGGCAAGGGCTGCCCAAGGAAGCAACTTTCCAAGGAAGGAGCTTTCCCTCTGCATCACCCAGCCCTGCTCCTCCAGCCCCCGAGCTCCACCCTGGGATGAGGCAATGCCTGGGCAGTTTTGGTGGCCACAGCAGCTGCTGCCCCTCCAAGACCAGGAAGCCACTGCCTGGTCCTGCTCCCCGCACAGGAACAAACCTGGAGGGATCTTTGGTTCAGTCACTGCAGAAGGGCTGAGCAGGGACCTGTGCTGAGCCCAGGGCACTCCCAGCTCACATGGCAGCACGTGTCCCACCCCCTGAGTCCCACAGGGGTGGCACTTGGAGAAACAGGAGAAGGGAGGAAGCATCGGAGGGGAGTCCCGGCTCTTGGGGTGCCCCGTCTGCCCCGGCTCCTTCATTTGTTCTCGATCAGAGTCTGCACTTTATAGACCAGGTCCCGAGCCAGCTTCAGGATCTGTTTGGTGTTGTGGCGCTCGGCCATTTCTGCAAGACAGAGGCACCGGTCAGGTCACACCTGGGCAGTCCCCAGCCCTGCTGCCAACCTCCCCTGGCTCTGGAGAGCCACCCTGAACCAGCCCCTCGGGATGGGGACAGCAGCATGGAGCAAAGCCCAACCCTCAGCTCCCTTCAACACATCCAGCTTGGCTGCTGCTGAGGAGAGAAGGTGATTCCAGCCMCACCAAATCCCTCAGATCTCTGGGTGTGTTACACATTTCTGCYCAGATGTCACTGCCCACAGCTGCCCCAAACTCATCCCGACAGAGCAYGAGCTGTACCATTGAAAAACTTGATGATGTCTGTAAAATCCATGTTGTTCTCCAGGATGATGTCCCGGTACATCTCCACCAGGGCCAGGGCTATGAAGAGCACGTAGTGAGCGGAGGAGACACGAGCAGCAGCCCAGATGGTCTCCCAGACAGCAAAGACATCGTCGTACACCAGCTCTGTGAGCAGAGAACAGCAGTTACCCCTCCGCTCCCAGCACCCTGCCCCATGGAGCTCACAGAAGGGGGCTTCCTTCCCATGGGAACCTGCTCCAGCTGGAAGCAGCACATCAGGCATCTGTAGGGAGAAATATTCTGCCCTACAGCAGGTTACAAAGGCCCCAGGACACACTTGTGGAGAGGCTCAGCAGCAGTTCAGGAACAACAGGTTCTGTATCTAGACAGAACAATCAGCCAGACATCAGGGGAAAGTGGAAAGGAATTCAAAGTTAAGGTTAAAGCTGCTGAGAAGCCTGGAAGCAGATCCTGCCCCACCCCTGGGTGGTCTCAGCACACACCTCTCTTGAAGTCCAGGAGAAACCATCGGTAGCAGAAGTAGAAATGAGTGTAATCCCCATTCTGGTGCATCAGCTCRAAGAGCTCAGAGTCCAGAATCTGTCAAGAAAAGTGAAAGGAACCTCAGGAATGCACACACAAGGCACATCCCTTCCCTACTTCCCTCCATCCACCGCTCTCCCACTGCACCAGCTCCTCCCTCCCTTTCCTAGCACACACCTCTCCAGGCTGTCCTCACAGCCCCTGCTCTCCCTCCTGCTTCCCAGCACTGAAACCCCCTCTCAGCCCCTCCAGAGCCAGCTTTCCCCCTTGGGAGTGATGAGGAACCCTCACCTGGATCAGCGACCTCATGTTGGCAAAGTGGGTGTCCATGGCTCCTCCGTGGGGGAAGTTCTGATTCATCCTCTTCATGAGCTCGGTGAAGCAGCTGAAAGCCAGAGCCTCTGTGCAGGGAGGAGAGACATCCCTGCAGGGCTGCACGGCCACATCCCTCCAGAAAATCCCCCCTGGCCCCAGGGTGGGCTCCTGGAGCCAGGCAACATCACAGACAAATGGGATCCTGCTTCAAGCACCCCATGGGCACATGGCCCCAGCAGATCCCCCCATAAAGGGACTGGGAAAGCAGAGCAGAGCCACCCACTCACCATCATCCAGGATGACCAGGAGAGGGGCCAGCAGGTCACACATCCCCTGCACGTAGCCAATCTCAATGTGCTGCCAGATGTAGCTGTGGGAGAGAGCAGGAGAGGTGACTTGGGACCTGAATGCCACCACCTGCCACCTCCTTTGCCTGTGTCCTGTCTCCCTTCCCAGCATGCTGGGCTAAATCACACCAGTTTATTCCATTATCCCTGTGCTGGAAATGATTAAATTCTTGTGGTGACTCCCAGGTAAGGCATGCATKGCAAAGTCATGGATCAACACCCTGCCATGGCCATGTCCAGGGTCAATCCAGGGCTGTGCCATGGCCATTGCATGGAAAARTCAGTGCAGGGAAAAGCAAAATGGGAAAGCACAATGCAATGGGGTCATTGGGACTGACAGAATTTGTTCATCTCTCATTCTCATCCTTCCCCCTCAATTCATCCTCTTGGTTCTCTCCGCCAGCCTCGCCTTCCCATTCCCAGTGTCCCAGGAAGCACCCAGCCTTGCAGGGATATCTTCCCTTATTTGGTAGCAAGGCAAAATGCATTTGGAGAGGACTCAGACCTGCTGCTGGCACAAGGGAATGATCTTTTCCAGCCCGCCTGCTGGTTTTCCAAAATCTGAGGGTCTAATCTCAGCAGAGATCTCCAGCTCTGGCTGTCGGGTGAGGTGACAGCACTGATGGAACAGCAGCTTCTCCTCATGTTTGCAAGATGAGCAATAATATTTTATCCTTTGCTGCCTGTGAGGCAGCAGCTGAGCTGGTCTGAGTCTGTGAGTGTCACTAGGCGAGCCCTGAGTCACAGGGAATCAGAAATGCACCCAGGTCTGGCTCTCTCCTGGGATTTTGGGCAAGCACAAACCATTCYGGTGCTTCRGGCACTTTCTCATTAGCACTACAGSTCTGTGGGCTGATCCTCATTAAAACATTTTCCAGGCATWCTCCAGAAAGCAGCCGGGCTGCACTGGGTTCCTGGGCAGCCCAGGGAGCCTCTGCCTTGGCCAAAACCCCAGGACAGGGYAGTGATGGAGAAGGACAGACGGACACCTCAGGAACCGCCACGTCCTTGGAGCTCCCAGTGCTGGGATGATGAGGGGATTTGGGGGAGGATGGCAAGCAGCAAAACSCAGTAACCAAAAATTTGAGGCTCCAGCCTGCAGATGAACCCCAGGAAGCCCCTGCAGCCCCCACCTGCACATGACATTGCGGAGTTTCTCCAGGTTGGCAGGGGTGAAGTACCAGTAGTTGCGGTCACAGCGCTGCACGTCCTTCTCGATGCGGTGCAGGTTCACYGTGTACATGTCCAGCAGCTCTGGCTGCCCAAAACAAGAGCAGAGTTGATTTGTTTTCCAGTGAAAAGCCGGGAGAGAGTGGTGAGGGTGATGGAGTGACAGGGCAGAGTTTGGGTGGGAGGTGGGAGCCCCTCCAAACCCGACTGTGGGATCAGCGCTGGGTAAATGCAGGTAAATCCTCCCCTCCACTTGGCCCCATGAGTGAGGCACATCTSGAGTGTGGTGTTCCATTCTGGGCTCCACAGCTCAGGAAGGACAAGGAGCTGCTGGAGAGGCCACAGGGATTATTTGGGGTCTGGAGCATCTCTGTGATGAGGAGAGATAGCAGGAGCTAGGCCTGATCAGTTTTGAGAAGGGACTGAGAAGGAATCTCATGAATCCCTAAAAATATCTCAAATCGTGTGCCAAAAGCATAGTGCCAGATTCTTTTCAGTGGTGTCCAGTGACAGGACAAGGAGCAGTGGCCATAAACTGACACAAAAGTTCCACCTCAACACGAGGAAGAACTTCCCATGGAGGCTGGTAGAGCAGTGGAACAGCTGCCCAGGGAAGGTGTGGGGTCTCCCTCTCTGSAGACATCCCAAACCCACCTGGATGCAATCCTGCTCTGGGTGACCCTGCCTTGGCATGGGGTTGGACTGGATGATCTCCAGAGGGTCCTTCCCACCCCAACCACTCTGGGATTCCAKGAGGCAGCCAGGAAGGAACCCCCCTGGGCCAGTCTGTACTTACAGAGTAGGTGACACCCGTGGAGGAGAGAGCAGCTGGCTCTCCGCTGGTCAGATCAGTGACGGTCAGAGAGTCCAGCTGCGGGTACAGACTCTCCATCTCCGGCTCCTCGGACAGGTTGTCCTCGCTCTCCACCAGGCTCTGCTTCTCAGCCTCGCTGTCTGCCCAGCTCTCCACCACCGTCAGGGCCACGGTGTCACTGTCACGCAGCAGCCCCGCCGAGCCCTCACCCACGGGGACAAAATCCACACTTCCACCGGTGAGGAATTCACCTTCCAGGCTGTCCTGGCCTTGCAGCTTCTCCTGCTGGGCACTGTCTGTGTCTGGCAGGGCTGGCACATCAGACCCTGCAGCTTTTCCCTGGGAGCTGGAGGAGGATTTGGTGGTTTCCAGGGCGCTGTCCTCGTTGCTGAAGCTGCGCTCCGAGAACCCCGACGTGATGGAGAAGTTTTGGGAGGAGGGGTGCCCGGAATCAGGGGAACACGTGCCGTTGGGAACCGTCCCGTTGGGGACCTTGCTTTGTTTGCCATCTTCCAGCTGAGCATCGACTTCAGTCTGTTCCACCTCGTCCACAGATTCAAACACCTGCAAAGGGCAAGTGGGAAGACATCACAGGCATTCAGCAAATGTTAGGAACACGAGCACTACGTCCCCAAGAGCTGTGTAYTCATTGTGCCCATGTTCCCAGTGGAGAGGGAGGAAAATCCCCCTTGAGCTTCCTCTCCCTGGATTTGAGACAGCGCTTGGTCATTCGCACAGGTCCAAGCCCACAAATCCCCGCTCCAAAGAACTTTTGGCTTTGTTTGGCATTATATATTGGGCAGAAATTTCAGCACTGGGCACAAAACAGAGGGAGCAGCCACAGCTCTCCAGGTGTGAGGCCATGGGGCAGAGCAGGCAGTGAACACTCACCACCACGAGCAGAGCGCTGTTCTGACATTAGCCACCCCAAAGCAAGTAGGAGACTTGTTAACCTCTTCCAGCGCTGGTTTTGTTTGCCAGAAATCATCATGGTTGTGGCGAGGGGTCAGCCCAAGCCAGGGCAGAGCCGTGGGGACAAGGAAAAGAGGGCCAAGGTGCTCACCTGGGTGCTGGAGCTGGAGTCACTCTGCAGCCGGGCGTGGTTCTGCCGRCCGGAGCTGCAGCTCTGCGAGGACTGCAGGGGACAGGGAAAAGGRCAGGGGRAAAKAAAAGGAAAAGGGTTGGGGTGAGRRAGKTCAAGCAGAGGTGACAYTTMTGCAGGTGAAGAACAAGCAGAAATGAATTGCATCCAGTGAATTGCTCATATTTGAGCCATGGAGGATGTTCCTGTCGTTCAGCACAGTGCCCTGCCTCAGCCMCTGACACTGCTGGCAAGGTGACAATGCCCAAATCCCAAGCCAGTGCACTTGTTGGAGTGCTGTGTGACAGGTCTGAAGGAGCTGCTTCCCTCTGGCCTGCACAGAGGCCACACTGCCTCCCCAGAGTGCAAATTTCCACAAATCTCTGTCCTAATTTGGCAGCAACGCAGCTCAGCCCAGCTCAGTTTACATAAACGATGAAGTCAGGCTATAAAACAGTCCCTCCAAGCAGATTCGTGCTTTTTTCCTTTTCTTCAAGGACAAATATTGATGTTTTGAGCCAGACTCAGTGGAAGCAGCTCCTCTCAAAGTCACGAGCACCCTGTTCTGGCTTCCAGCTGAAGCACAGAGGGGAGGGCTGGGCTTTGCAGGCACCAGCTCCGTCCTCAGCTCCTCTGGCTCTCTCTGAGCAACCAMCCCTCAATGGGATCAAATTCTCCCCATTAACTGAGCAGAGGTCCTGACATCACACACAAACAGAAGGATTTTGAGAAAATTCAGCACGTTCAGAACAGCAGGAGTTGTCCCCACCCCTGTATTGTGGGTGTTTGCTGGGCAGGGCTCTGGTGGAGAGAGGAAGGGCGACAGCTTTCCTCCATTACCGTGGGAGCACTTCAAACAGGAAATTTCAGGTTGAAATGAGAAAAGAGGAAAACTTTGCGTGTGTTCAACTCTGCCAGCTGAGTGATCCAGAACAGGCACATGTGGGTGCAAAGGAAGAGCCACAGTGGAGATGCTGAGGGGATGGGAATGATTCCCGGGGTTCCAGCAGTGCCTCTGCTCACYCTGAGAGCTGCATTGCCCAGTCCCACCCTGCCCCAGGCTCAGACCTGCCTTCCCTGCAGCTCTCCCTCCCGTGACCTGCAGGAGTGGGGCTGAGCTCAAAGAACCCACACAAACTTGCCAGGGGGAAGCAGATCAAGCCTCACCTCCCCTGGCCTCTGGGGCAGCAGCCTGAGGTCAGGGAATGCTCTGCCACACTGGGCCCTTCTCCTCCAAGGACAAAACTCTCACAGAAGCACCCTGTGCACTCTGTTCCCAGCACTGCTTTTTCTTTCCCAGACTTTTCCCTCCACACCCTTTTGTTTGGGCTGTGGATTTCGCTCCTCACTGTGTTGCTAAAAGCCAGGCAGCCCTGCTGGGTGTCCCCATGGATGACACGGTGTACTGAGGGTGCACTGAGGCTTCTTCCATGCTGGAAAAGTGARCCAGGAAGCCCAGTGCCCTGCTTCAGAGAAGTGCCAGGAATGTCCTCTTCTTCCCCTCCTCTACTTCAAACCCCCTTTCATAGAGCTAATCCTGATAATCCCAGGAGTGCATAGGGCAGTGAGTATCTCACTTCCACAGAGGAACAGGACACAGAGGTGGGCACAGCTCAGGGAAGGAGTATGTGTCTCCATACCCCATGGACTCTGGGTGGGCACAGCCCTGTCCTGGGGCCCTCACCTCGTTGCTGATGGTCGAGTCCCTGTGCATCATCCTCTGGATGTGGGAGTCCAGGCTGGCCCCCGAGGAGCACTTGGCCAGGGCGGCGGCGTGGGACTCCTTCTCGCGCTGCCGGACGATGGCCTCGCAGCCCAGCCACTCGGCCATCGTGTGCTCGTAGCAYGCCCGGGTCTGCTCGTCAGCCTGGGACATGGAGGGGACAGGGAATGGCAATGGCTGTCCCTAGAGAGCCCCAAACCAGCCCCTTCTGCACCCCAAACAGCCCCACACAGAGAGGTGCCCGTTTGTGAGAACTGTGGCTGGGTTCTCACAGCCAYCCTCACCCTGCACAGCGCCTGACCCATAAAACAGGGCCAAAATTTGGATGGAAAAAAGCTCATCCATGTCCTCCCTGCCCTCCCAAGGTGCACAAGGCACTGGACACTACACAGGCCAGCGTTGAGCTTGGCCCTATCAATTCCTGCTGCTCCAAGTGTTTGTCCCACTGCCACCCACAGCCCAGTCCAGAGTGGACACAAGGCTCAGCGGGGTCACTGGGTGTCCACACCAGTGACCACACCACAGCAGCACCACCCTCACTGACCTCTTTCCTCTCTGCCTCCGTCATCCCAAACTGGTAATGGCCCAGCAGGAAGGGCCACACTGCCTTCCTGATCTCGTGCTGGATCCCRCCGTAGTAGATCAGCCGCAGCAGCTCCTGGTCCTCGTAACTCTGCGGGAAGAGCTGGGCTCAGGGCACGGCCACAGCCAGCACCTTGAGTGTCAGAGTGTCCCCAGCCCGGCTGTGCCATCCCTGAGCACCCAGACCTCGGCCACCCCCGCCCTGCTGTCCCCATGTCCCCAGGGCATGGCCCTACCGAGCTGTCCTGCAGGTATTGGTGCCAGATGTCCACGGTGAGCCCGGCGCTGGCRCTGCAGGGGACATCGGGGGACACGATGCTGTGGTTGACCAGTGCTGACAGGTGAGTTCTCACCGTGGACAGGTGTCTGCAGTAGGCCAGCCCTGCACAGGGGACACCAAACCTTCAGTGGAGCTCTGGGAATCACGGGGATGAGGAGCAGGAGAAAGCTCTGGGGAGGCTGAGACCCTCGGCAGGCACACTCAGCCCTGGTTTGGCACCCCCTGTGCTGTTTGCTCCCCATCCTGAGCACGTGCAGCACATTTGTCCCAGTTCCTCTGGCCACTGGTAGCTGYCCCAGAGCCCAGGAGCTCATCCCTYATCCCATCACACATCCCAGGGGGATGTGATGAGTACTCACAGCCATAGAAGGCTCGGGACAGGATCTGGTACTTCATGTTGTCACACAGGAGCTTCAGTGGTGCTCTGCCAACAAAAACACATGGGATGGGAGGRGAGAAGATGCTCCTGTGCATCCCCTCAGCCTGGCTTTGATCCCACTGATCCGGCTTTGCCTGCAGAGATGCACCAGGGATCCTGCCCAGGTTCAGCATTTCCTGCTGCCARGTCTGAAATGTCCCAGCTGCAGGGACAAGCCTCACCTCAGCCATGTCCCACCACCCCGTGCCACGGTCCCTGGACACTGAGCCCTGGCCTGTGTGTCACTTTGGTGTCCCCAAGTGTCCCTGTACCTCTCGTGGCTGCAGCCATTGGCCGGGCCCCCGTCGGAGGAGCCRCTCTGGGAGCAGGAGGAGCAGGAGGATTTGCGGGTGCTGGGCTGCCACATGGGGGGCAGGACAGCCCCCGGGGCATCCATCAGGTCCTGGGGCACTGCAGGAGGGCAGAGAGGAGCGTCAGTACAGCCTGGCACTGCCCTGGAGTCAGGGAGACACRGRGGTCCCACACAGAGCTCTGATCAGYAAATACAGCGTCCCACRCTCTTCCCAAAGAGACTCCAGCAACGAAAAGGGACCCAGAACAGGAATCACAGCCCTGGGGAGCCCAGGAGAAAGGAAAGAGAGCAAGGAGCACTGATGAGAGAGAACTGTCACAAATTAATTTAATCAGCTAATTCAGAAAGCTGAGCTTAAACTGCTTTGTGCTGACCAAGGCAGAAACCCAATACCCAGCAGAGACTCCAGAGATGAGAGAAAACAGGTTGAAATCAGCTGCTGTCCCAGGAAGAACGGATTATTGGAAAGGAAAAGGCCTCAAATCTCTCCAAGGATCCCAGCCAAAGTTCAGGGAAAGAAGGGAGCATCCAAATCACAGGACAGGAGATGAAGCCTTGGATGAGGAGGCTGAGAGGGACAGCAGGAGCTCTGCATGTTGTCACTTGTTAATCCCTGCTTAAACTSCAAGTGCTGCTGCAAAGGCCTCGGGTGCTGCTCAGGTACCACCCACACCCAGCCTAAGCCATGAGGGATAATCCTTTTTACTCCTCCAGGGAAATTAAATTGTGGTGGAAATTTCACCTTCTGTCTGGGCAAGGGTGTCCATGGTCGCAGTGACTCTCCCTGCTTGTGATATGGAATAACTGACATTGGCAAGAAAAATTTGGAATTATTCCTGCAAAAAGTCCCTGCCACTGAGCTGAAGGGTCAGTGACAGCTCTGCAGGACCTGCCAAGTGACAACACAGGCAAGCTGAGCAYCAGACCCAACCAACAGCTCATTACACTGATGCCAAGAGGTGCCCAGAGCAGCTCGGGATGTGCCAGGGAGACTCAGACACCATTTAGGGATCACCACCATCCTGCTTCCAGCTGCAATCTTCGTGATCTTCCCTCTCCCAGCAGTCACGGGTGCAAGGAATGGGTGAAAAGCACCATTAATGGCAACTGGAGACACGGAGAGAGGACAAGGGCACAAATGAAAGGACAGAAAGGAAGAATCTGTGGGGAAGAGGGAATGATGSAGTTCCACCCCTGGCTGGGAAGGCACACAGGAACAGCACAGGCTGTGATGATGCCAGCTGAGGAGATGGCAGCAATTAATTTCCCAGAAAATGTGGCCCCCAGCACRGAATTTTAAGGGGTAGATCAAAAGGCAGCCACAGAAAAGAGCATCTCTAGCTGCTGCTTTAGCTTCAATTAGGTTTTTATCTGACTCACTGAATGGTGTTAGTCAGCTGAAGGCAGGGAGAACCAAGTATAATCTCAACTGACGTTATGGAGCAGTCACGGATGTAATTTCTCCCTTATGGCCTCCAAAATATAGGGAAAAGGTTTCCATCAGATTCCAGAGAATTTTAAAAGTCTTCTACCTAAAACTTATGTGTTTTCCCCCTTATAAAGTCACCTATGATATGGCCAGAGGTGAGAAAATAATTCTTGGCATCTCATAGAGGGATGAGGACAAATGCACAGACATTTCAGCCAGGTTCAGACCATTCACCACCAGACATTAAGGGAAAATTCTTGGTTTGSATTATCCAGCAGCATCCCCTCCCTTGCCCTGTGAGTCAGGGACTGCAGAAAGGTGGGTGCAGCACCCAGAGCAGGGCGCTGTGACCTCCCCTTTGTGCTGCAGCAGCCACGCTGAAGGAACATCACTGGATTTAAATGCACCAAGAGAAGAATCAGCCCTGGGGGCTTGTGATGGCAGAAGGTGACCCCCAAGTGAATCTTTCCTTCTTCCAGGGATGCAGGGTCAGCCACAGCTTCTCTGGACAGCCTGTGCCACCCTCCCAGGGAAGGCTGATGACATTTAAGATCAGGCAGTGCTGATACAACCAAAGCCCCTTCCCTGGAGCCACCTCCTGGTTTGCCCCATGCCCACCAGAGCAGTGTCCCAGCCTCTACAACCCCCCCAAAGCCTGCCCTGAGAAACAAAACTCTCACCAAACTCTGCCTGAGTCCCGGGGTAGATGATCCTGAAAACATAATCCGTGGCTTCGTCGTCTTCCTTGTCGGACGCGGACTCGGAGGAGCCCTGGGGGCTTCTCTTCCTCAGCTTGGGAAACACCTTCCCCTGGGGGAGCAGAGAATACGCTGCATGAGCCACCTCAGACTCCCTTCCCGACCTCCTGCCSCACATGCTTTGCCATTCCCAGGGCTGGAGCAGCCTCTGGATCAAGTTTCCAACAGCAGGTGAATCCCTAACYCTGTTAGGCATGGTACAAGCACAGCCCAGAGAACCAAACTCTGCCAGGCAGCCCTCCTACACCACCCTCCCATTCTTTCCACAAGGCTCTGTTCAGCTGGGCAGGGCCACGAGCTAAACCAAACCACCACATTTTAATTAACCACCTTGTTAATTCTGACAGGGGATCACTGAAAATGCAGCAGCCAGAGGGTGCTGCCCACCAGCCCTGCTCCGAGACGCTCTGCATGGGAACAGCAGGAATGGGCACTCACCTTGCCCCGCTGTGACCAGAGGGGTGGGTCCAGCTGCCCGTGGGGCAGGAGCCCGTTCTCCAGGCAGGACAGGAACTGCAGCAAGTGCCCTCCACGGGGGAAGCGCAGAGGAGGCCTCTGGATGCCATCCTGGCTCACCAGGACAACCGTGCCACCGCTGTCCACTATTGGCAACAGAGAGAACGGACACACCATCAGTGAGAGAAACAGCCCAGGCCAGCACAGCTCAGGGAAATTCAGCTCATTCTGGGATGGAAAACAAGAACTTTCTTCCTGTGGATTCTTCTCCAGGTTCATTGTGAGACTGGAGCCTTGGAGATGGCTCTGATTCCAAGGGATCACCCCCTTGGAATCAGAGCCTGCTCTGCAGGTGACGCCTGATGATTTTTTGCCTTTTATTTTTATATAYCTTTTWATATATTTTTATACCCTTTTAGACATTTTCTGTACSCTTTATGTATCCCTTGTACCCKTAGCCTACATGCTTGTAATTSCTGTASCCTGATAYTCCAGCTTAGTTTAGGGGTTCTGCTGGGCAGAGAGACCAAACATCCTCAGGAGGGGTCAGCGTGCCCTGTGCTATCTCAAATTTGARGCTCCAACCTTGRYTGAAGCCTTCTTTCTGGAATATATTGTGTAAASTGGGTTCTGGCCTCATCCTGGGGGGATTCCTTAGAATAGGGGGACATYACTTAATTTGTTARATTTCTTATTGGGGAATTTTAGATAGATGTGCTRATTTGTGAARTCTATAAAACTTGTATACRTGTTACACGWCTTCCAYCCTGTCGAGCTGTGCACCTGGGATCCCAGGTAAATTAAATTACTGAGGTAAAACCCTTTTAGCCTTTAAATTACCCGTTAAATACCTAGGTAAAAACCCTTTTAGCCCCTTAACTGTGTCTTGTCTCATAATTAAAAACTGGCCATCAAGGCAACACAGGGAGCACACCCAGCCAAGAGCCACAGCCAAGAAAGACTTTCCTGGAAGCATTTAAACCAGAGTGACCACCCAAGTGACCACCCAGGCACTGCCCTGGAGCCAAATCAAACCCCAGAGGTAAGGGATGGGGTTCCAGGGTGCTCTGGCCTTACCTTGCTGGTGACAGTGCAGGTACACRATCTCCTCCAGGCGAATGGTCATGGCATAGTCCCAGTACACGCTGGAACAGAGGGACAGGCAGGCTGTGAGCCTCAGGGCTGTGGGAGGCTCTGCTGCTGCTCACAGCAGCTCCAGATGCTGCTCCAGAACCCCTGGAGGCACCAGGCAAAGGCACAGAAAGGATGAGAYCCCACAGCAGTGATGCCAACAGGATGAGTGACAATGTCCCTCCAGAAGCAGCAATTGTCCCTGTCCCCTCAGCTGAGCCAGGGCCACTCCTGTCCCACCTGCCCTGGGTGGTTTCTCTGCCCTCACGCTGTTCCCAGAYACAGAAAATGAGCCCATGGATCCTGGCACYTGCAGAGCCSAGCACTCTCCTCTGGGCACCCCAARAATCCATCAGGAGCAGCCCCAGAGCCCCAAGGGAATGCACAGTGAGGYCCAAGGCTGGGCTGCTGCTCTGCCCCAGCAAGGGGAATAAACCCTYRCAATTTGTGGRKTTTTTTCAGAGCTCACAATAGATTYRGTCTYAGCTGCTTCAGTTCAAGACCTGCCTCARTCCAGGCACCGTGAGGTGTCTGAGCAGATCTACAACAGGCTGGAGAGCTGCTGGCCACCAGACAGGGCAGAGGGGCAGGGAAGGGGATGTCTCCAGGGTTTTATTCCCATGGAAGCCAGCACTGCTCTCCAAGGGTGCCAGCACACAATCACATCCCCCTTCTGTGCAACAAAGCAAAATTCCAGACTCTGAGCAGCAGCAGCATCTGCCATTTCACAAAAATAGTGCTCAAATAAYGTTAAAAACAGCTCGTGAAGGCAGGGAAGGCAGGAAGGTGTGCAAGAGTCACTCCTGGTACAGTCATACTCACTGGGCCATCTGCCTCCTCTCTTYCTTGGTCAYGTCCTGACAATGGGAATTTTTAGAGCTTAGGCTGATGCCCAAGGCAAGAACTCAGAAAAGGAGTGCAGAGATAAGAAAATATTTTAGGGGAGGGTATCAGGCACGACTGAACAGCCCAGGGGCCAAGAAGAAAGGKGAGATGAAAAGAACACAGGTAAACAAAACCCAAAAACCTACAACTGATGAACAAAACTGAGACTGACTTTTGCTGAGGATCTCTGCTCTGGGTCAAAGCATCAGCGCTCTGAACACTCCCACTTTCCTGGAGCGCCTGCTGCTGGAAAGGGATTTTGTTTCACAGACAAAGAGGGAGCTGGAATGATGCTGTGAGGCCTGAAAGGATTGCAGCTGGCCAAGGAAATGCCAGCAGATCACCAGGCAATGCCAGGGAGAAGGGCATGGCTGCACTGCCTGCAGACTTCAGGAGGAATGAGCTCAGGGACCTGGATAAATCCAAGGGACTCTGAAAATCTGCACCAGGATCACCCAAAACAGCACCAGCAAACAGCACATGCTGTCACTGAGGTCAAGGAGCTGCTCCAGCTCCCTCCTGCAGATTCTCCTCCCTGTTCATGAGCTCCTCGTGTCCCTGGATGACAACAGCCAGGAGAAACCTGGGAGCACTCTGAGGGAGGGAGGGGAGGGCATTCCTCTCAGGAAATCCCCCAGGGCAACAAATGGAACCTCTTTTTGTGTTCTGGAGCAAGCCCCACTCCCTCACTGAGCACTTCACACCCCCTCGTGCCTCCTTCCCACCACAGCCTCACGGGTGATGGGTTTGCTGTGAGAAAACGCTGCTGTCTTTGTACCACAGGTCCAAACTCTGGCCCAGAGGAGCATTCCCCACCCTGCCCTGGCACACTGGGAGCCAGTCACCTCTTCTCATAGTCCAGGTCGCCCACGGAGCCGTTCATCAGCTGGTTGGGGGTCCACTTGAGTGCCATGATGTCGGCAGTCTGGTGCAGGGACAGATATCCCGGGATGGCCTCCATGTCATCGCGCTTGGGGAGGGAAACACAGCGAGAGTGAGCTGGGAAATGCCAGAAACACAAAGCCCTGGAGCCCATTCCCAGCCCCTCACACAGCCCTGCTGCTGCCCACCTGGTCACAAACAGGGAGAAACCCTTTGTGTGCCTGGRAAACCTCTGAGCAGAGGGTCCAGGRCAGATCACYGCCTTGGGAAAGGGYTGAGAGCAACTGCCYGGCAAGGAAAACMTAMCAGCTTCACCCMAAAGCAGTTTGCACTGCATTTATTTGACTGCAAGAGGCAGGAAGGGATGGGGGAAGGATTTTTGGGGTGATGAACAGGCAGGGAGAGGAGCCTGTGCTTCTACTCAAACTGGAGCAAAGCCCTTCCATCCCACTGGGAGGATCCACATCACCAGCACCTCCACAAACACAGTCCATTCTCTGTCTTCACAGATTAAAAACATGCTTTTCTCCACCCAAGAGCAATCTGGGGTCGAGGAGGGTGCTGGGGAGCAGAGCAGTGTTCCAAAAGGCCCCTTTCCCTGCAGGAACTCACCGGCTGCACCAGGACGTTGTTCTTGCCGTAGAGCAGCGTGGCTCTGGAGTTCTGGTGCAGYGACTCCACGTAGTCCCTGGCAGACAGGGATGGCCTGTCGTCCATGCTGCCGCTGGAATGTCTTTTCTGAATCTGCAAGGGTGATGTGAGGTGAGCACAGACACCTCTGGCTTCCCAAAAGGTTCTCTGGAACCTCACTCCCTCCTCACTCACACACTTCAGTGAGTCACTACCAGAAATTTTTCCCTCAGGGTCCTCTGAGGGGATTCCTGGCTCTGTCCAAGCTCAGTGCTGTACTTAGAGAAGCCCCAGGAGTGAGCTTTGTTTGTAATGCACAGAGGAAATTCAGCTTTTTGCTCACACACGATGTTCCCCAGGGAACTGGGATGCAGCTGCCACGAGATGCTCTCCATGGACACGTTCCCAGCATTTCTGCCTCAAAGAATTCCCTCCCCAGGGGCTCCCCAGGCCTTTCCAAGCAGAGGGAGCCCAGATCCCCCTAAACCACAGACAGATTGATCCCCGACTCACACAGAGTGCTGGACGCTTGGTGGGTGAGTCCTGGCGGCAGTGGGAGCTGTGGATCCGGTGCCTCTGGACCAGCTCATCCGCCGAGGGGTCTGTCCAGAAGTGGTCAGCAGTCTTCATCTTGGTGTATTCCAGTGCACAGGGCCCCACTGTGGAGAGGAACACCCCAAACACACAGGAAACATCCGTGATCCATGGCTGTGGTCGCCTCCCACAAATTTGGGAGCAGAGATTTGGGAAAGCAAGCAGGGAAAGCAAGTGTTACCCAATAAAGATGCAAGAATTGGCCCATCCACAGGATCCACCAGCAGAGCTTCCTTCTCATAGTACTTACTAGAAGAAATAAAGGACAGCAGAATGCTGGAGCACCACAAAGTTACAGGCAGTGGTTTAAATCCCCATTGTGCCTTTCTCTTTCTGCATCTCCTCTTGATGGGGAGAGGGCAAGAAGCCCTTTTTTGTGCCAGCTGAGAAATTCCTGGGGAACAGCCCACACTGCCAGCATCCCATCTCCTAGGACCCTCCCAGGACAGGACATCTCAGCAAGCAGAACCCASAAAATAAGGACAATGCAGCCCTGACAACCCAACCATCACCAGGACTGTCTGCATTTTTTGGAGTGGTCACCAGCAGCAGGGCACCCACCAGAGTACCCACAATTGGCACTGAGTACCCACAATTGGCATTGGCCTGTGCCACCCAGGGACTTCCCTGACTCCCCCAGTGCCACGGATGGGCAAAAAAACCCCAAAAAACAAACCTGTGGCATCACCCACCTGCTGTTCTCCACCAGGTAGTGCACRATTTTATCCAGGACCTTTTCGAAGAGGGCTGTGCGGATCCACAGGTGCCTGATGGCCTGAGGGGACAGGTTGGGCAGCTTTGGCACCTTGCGCGCGTTCTCTGGGACCGCCGGCGCTTGGTTCCGCCTTCAGAGGTGAAAAAAGAGACAAAAATGCCACAGGTTCATCCCTGAACTCAGAGGGAGCCCAGGACATTCCTGCCACCAGTGGGGTGGCGGTTCTGGAGGCTGGGGATCCCAGGGAGCAGCCTGGGACAGAGCTCTGGAGGTGCTCCCTGTGTCTACCCCACCCCCTGTGTTTAAAACCAGCCTTCACTAAATCAATTCCCCGCTGTAAARCCACCCCAGAACTCTCAGCTCTCCCTCAGCAGAACCCTCCAGCCCTCACATCTTTCCACAGCTGAGCTCACAGGCGGAGCAGCTCATCCTTGGACAGCCTAAAATCCCTGCCTGCAGGTGGCTGCTCCATCCATCTCCCTGCTAATTGTCCAAGGATGAGTAATCCCCTCCCAAGCAGCAGCTGAATTACAGCAGGGTTCGAGCCCTGCACACTGAGACAGACCCAACGTGGTTCCAGCTGAGCTGCTCCATAAACTGTGACAGCTCGGGAGCAGCGTGCTCAGCTGTCCCTGAAGCATGAGGAGTAAAATCTCCTCCAGCCCTGCTTAAACCACAACCACGAGTTTTCTGGGTTTTCTCAGTCTCCTAGAAAAGCAATCACTTTGGTCAAGATATTGATGCCTTAGGATTTTTAGTTTCTATGTTTTCATGCATCTGTATTGTTGTACTTCTCTAGCACAACACTAAAACTACCCTTCTCTCATCTTTAGTAAAACAATCCCTCTCTGAGCCTGAATCCAAGGAAACCTCGCTGCCTCAGAGCCCGAAAATAAGGAAACAATAGCGAGTTGGGGGGGAGCAAGTTTGGGATGGTTGACATCATCACCTGTAAAGATCATTGGAGAATTAAGACCCAATATGTTAATAAGGCAGAACTTATAAAAGGTGAAGGTCTCATGATTCAGGGTCCATTTTTGGGTGTAGCCTCAGGAGGAGGCTTTTGTCTGCCCTAATGTACCAGTAGGCCTGTTAGACCTGTATTAAAGTCATCTATTCTCATTCTCTTAAATTTATCTGGCCTCTATTTCAGATTAGCCTGATCGATAAAGCATCAATATCAAACAAAGCAGAAGCAGCAACTCCTCCCAATAACCCACACCACGCTCCCCAGCCTGGCCCAAAGCACAACTCCCACCCCAAAACTCGAGGAATGGCCTCCACGCCAGCGCCTTACGCGTTCTCAATGAGCTGCTCCAGGTCCTGCACCTTCCTGCAGAGCTCCTCGGCCGGGGGGAAGCTCTTGCCCACCTTCATGAAGAGCGCGGCGATCTTGTTRCTGCGCAGGAATCCGGCYGCYCTCCGCTTCAGCCCRAACAGGACACAGCACTCCACGGCRGCTGCAGCAGAGCACARGCCAGGCCATCAGAGTGTTTCTAAACCATGGGAAATGGGGTGGCTTTCCCCCAAAAAAATCTCAGCGTTCATAAAAATGTTTTGATGGGAAAGTGAAAGGAAAGAAGCTGGGGGTAAAACRCAGGCTTTGGGGATGCTCCTGGCTCAGCAGTGACTCTGTGAGTGCTCGGGGACGTGGAGTTCAGTCTCTATGGAAGGCTGTGCCTGGTTCCATGTGCCCAAAGGCACTCACCAACCCCACTGAGTGCCCAGACAGCCCCAGACACTGTCCCTGTCCTGCCCTGGCGAGCAGGGATCCCGTGAGCTGGCGATGGTTCCACAGACAGATGGGCACAGGCTCTGCTCTCTCTCATTCCCAAAGCCTCCCAGAGGGCTCAGGGTGGGTGTGAGGTGCCGAGCACACACTGATTGAACAGGCTGATCAAACACTGGAAAAATCACACAGAGCCACAGCCCTGCAGGTCTGACAAGGAGCTTCTGCTCCCTCCTCCCCAGGCAGCCCAGCCGGGTGCTGCTTCACCTCCYGCCTGGAAAATCACCCTTCCCTACAGCCCAACAACTCCCTGGAGATGTGGGAAAAGGCATTTCATGCAGAAACACTGCAGCAGCTTCCAGAGACTCATTATCCTGCCTGCTCTGTGGAGAGACGTGCTCTGTGCTGGCAGAGAACAACAGATTTGGGCCAGTCCAGCCCTGCTGACCACCACCAGCCACTGCTTGGAAACCAGGAGACCTGGAAACCAGGAGACCTGGAAACCAGGAGACCAGGAAATCAGGAGATCTGGAAACCAGACCCTGCCTAAGCCTTCTCAAAGCCCAGACTGCTGCATACAGCCAGGGCTTCACCCGCCAGTGGGATTATGTAAAATAAAATACAAATTGCCCCATGGCTTTGTCAGAAAACCCAACATCTCCTTCATTTATTCCATCCTCCACGGCTGAAATACAAGTGACAAACATTGCCACCCATGTGGGACYGCACCCAGGGGTGCCCTTTGGGGTGCCCAGCTCAGGCAGGTCCTGATAGTTCAGTACCACAGGGGTTGAGCAGCCAGGACCCTCTCCAGAGAGAGAGAGAGAATGTCCATGGGCTCCTGGTGCCACTGGTTCCATCCCAAATTCCCAGTGGACAAACRGGAGTGAGCACTGGTAGTCTCGTTTTGCTCAGGTCACGGGCAGCACATCCCAGCTCCTGCCAAGWGGGAGAAATCCCAACTCCTGAAAGGTCTCAATATGTGACATCGAGACAGAGCTGTCTCCTGTGCAAAGCACCACTCCTGCTGGCAAAACTACAGGGAAACGTGCAGCTTCCACAGGAAAAACTCTACTAAATCCAGGGGTAATGGCAGGATTTTGAAATGGGATGAGTTTTTGAGCTCAGCTGTGCCACCACTGCAAACAGACACCGCAGAGATTCTCACCGCTCAGGATATAACGTCCAGCAGAGCCAGGATAATGCAGGATATAATCTGCACGTGGTGCAGGGGCCCTGCTCAGCCTCACCCAGGTGAGGGGGGAGCTTTGACCCCTGGCAAAAGGCTGAAGATATCCCTGAGATTTCTGACGCAGCCGGGGCTGACGTGGACACCGAACCCTGGGCTCCCGCCGCCGGCTCCCCATCAGCCTCCCAGGGCAGCCTGGACGTGACAGATGCCAGCTCGAGTTTGTCTGCTCCAAACCCCCCTCCCAGCACCACGGAGGGGTCGGGGGGGATGCTGCCCTTCCCCTGCAGGCTGCTGGATCCATCCGGAGGGGTTTGYGCTACGCTGGCTGCGCACAGCGCTCGGTGAGCGGGGCTCTGCTGGCAAGGCAGCTCTCTCCAGGGAAAAGGGCAGCTCTCAGGCTCGCAGCACGCTCTGCTTGGCAAGGAGAGAGGTTATTTATAAGCTCACCCAGCTCCTGGAGAGCCACAGCACYGAGGAAGGTGCATTTCAGCAAGAGGAGCAGCAGGAGCCAGGGGAAGGGCAGCAGCACCTTAAAGAGGCCAGAAGGAATCCAGGAGCCCTTCGTGGCCGGATAACTCAGCTCCCTGTCGCTGGAGCCTAAAAATAATGCCAGGCTGAGCAGCCTCGTGCTGCACGGAAAAGCAGGAATGAGTCACACCTGGAAATCTGCTCTGCTCTTTCCACGCTGAGCAGATCCCGAGTGTCTTTGATGTGAGGGCCCAGGAGAAGAGGAGAAAGCCCCAGCCTCCTCTCCACAAACTATTCCATAAAAACAAAGGAATATTTGGGCTCGGCAGACTTTCAGCTGAATTGATTCTCGAGGGAATTTAAAAATAAAATMTTATTCCTGGTCTTTCCTCAATGGTTGCCAGCGTCCCTCCCCTCATTTTGACGCATCCCTGTGTATTTTAAGCACAAAAACCTCAGGGGTTCTGACCTCTGCCAGAACAGCCCATCCTCTGGCACTGCCCCCCAGGTTCTGGAGTGAATTCCCAGGAATGGCTCAAGCARGGAATGCCCAGCACCACAGACTCACCACAGAAAGAGATGATGTGGCTGCTGTCCTCATGCACGAATTTCCTCGTCACGGCCTCCTCCATGATCTGCTTCACCTGCAGGACAGAGGCAGTCAGGGAAAACGTGGAATTTCAGCCACGAGAGCGAGGATTCCTGCGGTGGAGTGGGTATATGGGAACCTCCTCTGCTCCTTGGTTTTCCCAGAGGCACAGGAGATCTCACAGAGGATGCAGCACTGCCTGCTGAACCTCAACAGATGTTCCAAAAGGTATTAAAAAAGAGCTGCTTCATTTTTGAGAAGCTTGAAAGCAGGAGAACGATGAGGTGAGAATTAACAGAGGGAACTYAGCATCATTCAGCTAAAAATCATCTAATAAAAGTACCCAAATCTCATAATTAAGGCYTTTACAGCATTGTTCTGTTCTCTCTTTTTGTTTGACAATTTTCCTGTGGCACAGCTGTCCCAAATGACTGCAATGCCTAATTCAGTGATCCATCAGTGCCTAATTCAGTGATCACCTGGCACCAGCTGTGCCCAGGAATTCYATTTGCACAGCAGTGCCAGCAGCTCTGCCCTCTCTGAGTCACAGCTGATCCAGAGGAAGCTGGCACTTAGTGCTCATCAGGGGCACGATTAGGGGACAAAAACAAAAAACAAACAAAAAAAAAAAAAAAACCAAAAAAAACCAAACAGGGCCCCATAGAAATTAGGAGAGTAATTTTTGCAGGGAGCAGATGGGAGGTCAAACCCTCCAGGAAAGCAGGCAGCAGAGTTGTGACCTCCCTCCCCAGCTGCCACCCTCCCAAATCCTGCCAAAACCAGCCCGASACCAGCTGAATCTTTGCTCCTTAAACATTCAGTTCCCAACCACTTTTCCTTTTAAACACAGCTGCCAGCATGGATTTCACCTGCCTCTGTATTTTACTTTTCACTCCTTGGTTTTGGAAAACACGGGGGAGAGTGTTCCCAGTGCAGAGCTGAGGGTRTGGAGGAAACTCTGCTCAGCAAGATGTTCCTTCTGGGGGCACAGGGAGGAGGGAAATAGAGCAGGTCAAGACTTGGCCAAGCAAACCTTGCATGAACAAAACCTTCAACAGCATTATTTGGGGAATTAAACTCTCTGCAGGGCGCAATCGAGGTCAATGTGATGCACAGCTGGCAGCTCAATAATGGAAATCCATCCCGAGGATGGATTAAGAGAAGATTTCTCTTTGTGCCAGAGCCATCAGGTGAGGGGCCAGCACTGCTCCCTGCTCGGTGACTGACAGAGCTCTGAGCCTTCCCTGGATCCCAGCAGCTCGGATGAGTCAGGAAGCCATGCAAGGAATTTCACCAAGATGTGGAACTCGGGACTGGAGGCTGGAAATTCCCTTTGGCATAGCATGATCCTGCTCCAGCACCTCCCACACCCCAATTGCACCCACAGGAACACCCCAGGGAGCAGGGACAAGCTCCATCCTCCACCTCAGTGCACCCCTGTGTCCCAAAACTGTCCCCACTCAGGGCAGCTCCAGGTGCTCCTCCATTCCCCTACGGTTTTGCCCTGGAGGGGCAGCTGCAATCCTCACTCAGGGCTCCCTCCAGCACCGTTTAATTTCACATTTCAGCAACAGAAATGGTGACAGAGCAAATCCCAGCGAGAGTAGAGGAATTTCTGTCTCCCACTCATTCCCTGACCTTGGCTGCAGGGCTGGGTCAGGGATGGGAAGCAGCACCCTGGTGACCCCCAGAGCTGCTCTTTTTCCTCCACCTGGAATTCCACGTGTCCACCAAAGCCTGCCCAGCTCAGGAGCCRTCCCTGAGCACCCCTGGAAGGGAGATTCACACCTTGGGGCCCTCAGGGATTCCCTGAAATTTGGCTCTCCCATCATCCAGATGGCTCCTGAGCCTCGGCCGGGCAGGCTGAGCTCCCTCTGCCAGCAGGACACAGCGTTTCTCTCTCACACGTCCAGAAATCAGTGACACACAGATATTAAATGTGCATTAAATGTACACTCATGGCAGCCCTGGGGATATCAGGATTTTAACCCCCCCAAATATAATCAGTGTGCAGAGAGTTATGTCTTTTCCAGCTTCTGATTCAATCAGGAAATATTGCAGTWTAAGCAATAATTCAAATTTTTGTTGGAAATTTCAATATATTGACACAACTCTGGTCACAGGGCCTCCCCCAGGGCAGTGACCATCTGCCTGTCCAGGGCCTGGGGACATCCAGGACAGCAGGACCCGGCTCTGACCAGGCATCTCGGTGCCAACACTGCACCAACCACCTGCACGCTCGAGGCACAAACAGAACACCTTCCAAGAGACACAGTTTAGTGGAAAATTACTCATTAAAAGAAAAAAAAAATGCACTGTGTTGGCTGAGGTTGTAATGCCAAAAATAAATCAAGGAAAGTCTAAAAGGATGGAAGTGGAAAAGGCTCCACAACAACAACGCTCATTTGGGGTGGGARAAATACAAACAGCCCAGGAGACAGGGGTCAGAGTGACAGAAAACAGGGATATCTTGGAATTCTGGAGTGGTTGGAGTGGGAAGGGACCTTAAAACTCAYCCYATTCCACCCCCTGCCATGGGCAGACACCTTCCACTATCCCAGGTTGTTCCCAGCCCCATCCARCCTGGCCTTGGACRCTTRCAGRGAACAGAATCAACACTCCCAGGGTATAAAATCAAGARATTCCAACTTTCTCTAAGTACCAAGAAAGTTTTCCGACAAAACCATTTTATATTTGCCCAAACAGGCACAGCTGGCATCTGTAGGGCAACAGAACCAAGACAGAGAACCCCAAAACTCCCAATAGATCTGTCTGCAGAGCCCAAAGGACTGTCCCACTCAGGGCAGCCCCTCCACCACCATCACAGCTGGGATGTGCCACATGCTCCCAGAGTTTGTGACATCCCTGGGACAGGAACTGGGGCTCAGCCACACTTGGCTCTCTCCACAGAGGAGGCTTGAACAGTCTCTGAATGCGCTGTAATCCRGCAATTTTGATGCTAATTCTCAGATTGTAGGCAGAACAATCCCAAACAGATGAATCTGCCCGCTCTGGATCTCGTGCCAGCCTAGGGAAATGAGATGTTTGCTCTTCTTTTGTGAGGAAGGAAATTAAAACAGCAACTCATAATTTAGCTGTAGGTAAACTCGAGAGGAATATCACGGAGTATTCCACAACAGTGCAAACAATCCCCCTGGCTCCAGCTGGGAGCACAGGACAAGCTCCCTGGAAAATAAAATCAAACCCTCACCTGCCCAATAAACCCAGGCTTCAAATTCCACAGGGATTTGCCACAAAATGCCACAAAATTCCCAGAGATTTTCATCATCCAAAGCCAAACTTTCCTGTCCCCCAGCCCTGCTGGAACAAACCAAATATCATCCCAGCCACAGCCACCACAGAGGTGCAGGGAGCAGGAGCAAGCCAGGAACTCCAGGTTTCATCAGTCCAAGGCAATATCAACCCACAACTGTTTTCCTGGCTGATTTTCCCCCACAGAACCTGAGCTCTGGATTATTCAGGGATGTCTGAAGTCTCTGTTTTCCTGCCATGCCCCTTGCAAAACCTTTTACCAGTGCTTAAGGCATTTGAATGTAAGCACAGCACCTCCTGTGTATTTGGGTGTGCTCAGAACTCTGCAATTGTTTACAGATGAAAACAGAGTCCCCAGGGAGATCCTTTTCCCAGTCCTGTTCCAGGGTCAAGCCTGGGCACATTGCCACAGGCTGAAGGCAGCTGTGGGGGTGATCCCAGGGACAGATCCAGGAATGGGTCTGGTCACCAGATCCAGCAGCAAAAAACACCTGGCAGAGCAAAAAATGTGGCACAGTGGGCATGCACTGGGGGCAAAGAAATGGGAGAGTATCTCACACCAAACTTAAAGGATTTACAGCAAAAACAGAGGTGGAGGTGGTGGGGATGGTGGGGATGGGGGAGGTGGTGGAGATGGAGATAATGGAGGTGATGGTGGAGGTGATGGTGGTGATGAAGATGATGGAGATGATGGTGGAGATGATGGTGGAGATGATGGTGGAGATGATGGAGATTATGGAGATGATGGAGGTGATGGAGGTGGTGATGGAGGTGATAGTGGAGATTATGATGATGGAGATGGTGTCTCCTGCTGCCTCTGATCATCCACCTCCACACAGGATGCCAAGGACTTGGGTGGATGAGATGCTCCAAGACCAAAGCCAGGGAGCTGCACTGCCTGTACCCCTCAGAATCACATAACCAACCACAGAACCAATCAATCACATAATCAATCACATAATCAATCACATAATCAATCACATAATCAATCACATAATCAATCACAKAMYCAAYCACAKAMYCAAYCACAKACCCAACCACAGACCCAACCACAGACCCAACCACAGACCCAACCACAGACCCAACCACAGACCCAACCACAGACCCAACCACAGAACCAACCACAGAACCAACCACAGAACCAACCACAGAACCAACCACAGAACCAACCACAGAATCATGGAATTGTTTAGGTTGGAAAACCTCCCAGAGCCCAACCCCTAACCCAGCACGCCCAGTTTCACTCTTGTTGTTCAATCCACCTGGCCCAGGAGAACCACCAAGCCCTCAAAAGCCGTCAAACAAACAAAAAAAAAAGCAAAAAAACCTTAAAAAGAACCCTAACCCATCAATGAAAAAGGCTTTCAACTTGGTTTGCTTTTGTGCATTTGCTTTGCAAATTCTTTTCCAAGCTGGAGTTTTTTCATTCTCATCACGGTTTTTAAGTGCTGCTTTGATTACGTGTTTGAAGTTAATTCTTGCACATAAAAAAAAATCCCATTTTCCGTGTGGAAATAGGAAAAAGGGGAAAATTTCCCAGCCTGGTTTGGCCAGATGTACCAAAGCTGTCCAAGGCAAAGCAAGAGCAGAATCTCTGCTCAGCTCCAGGATATCATGCCAAACCCCAGGTCCTCCTGGACTGCCCACAGGAGAGTTTTCTGGACTCYCTGGTGCCCACAGGAGTCTCTGGGAATGCTGGATGGAAATCCCAGGATATCCAAGCACACCACCCATGCTGGAGCTAAAGCCACTTTTTCCAGCTAAAGCAGAACTTCTCAGACTGAATCCTCTCACCAGCCAGCTTCATCTTCCCATCTGAAAATGAAATTCCTGCCTGTTGCCTGTCTTGTTGCCACAAAACCCTTTTTTAGCAGAATTGTTCGTAAAAATTCACATTTTCAAACTCAATATCGCAGGATTTCCCGTTTTTCCTGCGTTCCTCATCTTTCCACCAACAAACACCATGATTATCCCAAAAAGCAGGAGCCAGGCAGACTGTGCAGCCCCACCACGAGCTGCAGCCACGCTCTGCCWCTTCTCCAAGATTTTCCAGGCTGACCACAAAAAAAAATCCCAATTAATTGTGCTCRGATTGGTTAAAACATCACCAGTGCAGTGTTTATACCCCAAGATTTAAAGGCTCTCACTGGACATTTTGGTGGCTCCTGGACAGCATGGGGACACCTCTGAGGGTGCCACAAAGTTGCCTTGAAAGCCACTTGATAGCTCCCCATCCTCRCTGCCACAGAAACATCGATCACAGCCCTGCCCGCCGAGACCTTTGGCTTTTCTGAAAGTGTTATTTAATAATTTATCACCACTCACTGAATAAAACATGGCACCTCCTGCAGCTGGGGGATCCTCCACGTGACACACGGGAGGATTTCCAGGCCAGCCCTTTTCCAGGAACCATGTGGGACGGGGATGAGGCTCCTCAGGGGGGTAAGAATTCAGAATAATTGCCGGAAAATGAATTTAAAATATATTAATGGAAGGATCCACAATGGAACATCTCATCCTGGGGGACACAGGGGTGATCCCAGCTGTGGGTTTTCACTGATAGTGTTTTGCACCAGACATTCTTCAACTTTTGGCCAAAAATCCGTGCTTACAACCCTAATTTAAGCTGTCTGGGATCACGTTGTAGTGGGTTCTATTCCTGTTGCGCTCGTCAAACGCGCATTTCCACGCCATCTGTGGGCACTGCTGGCGCTGCTCGCTGTCAAATGCTCAATGCAGACATTTAAGAGAAATATTTAAGGAAAACTTTAGTCATTTCTGGTGTTTCCAGCACCTGACATCGAATCCAGGCTCTGTTGTCACCACATCCCAAAGCTCCTGTCTTCCCCAGGTCACCCTGACAAGTTTTTTTTTGGATTCACTCAAACACRGCAAAGGATGAAATCACCAAAACCGAGGGCAACTTGCAGCTCCAAAYTGCTCTGAAATCTGTGCAAATCCAGGTATTTCCATGGCAACAGCCAGGACGCCGGGAGGGAGGAGGGGGAGGATATTTTGGCAGGGGAGGACAGAGGGTCCCCTGGAACAGGGATGGCGAGAGGAAGGGGGAAAGCAGCACAAAATCTGCTCTGGAGAGGATGAAGGCTCAGGATGAGCCAGGGGTTTCTGGAGCACGAGAGCTCTGGTGCAAAGCCCTGCTTTCATCTTTCAGAGGAAAGGAAACGGTCCCCGGTGCTCGGCGCTGCTCTTCAGAGYAGATCGATGCAGGCAATCGAGAAATGCTGCATCAAGGGCCCTCTGTTCCCTCCTGGTACAGAAACATCTGAGAAACACTGCCCTGGGTGCTCGAGAGACATCAGAGGGTCCCCCTGGAAAAGCTGCTTTCATTACCAACCTGCAGCTCATCATCCTCATCCTTATCTCGTCTGAACACTTTTGACAGCTCCACAAAGGCCTTTCCCTTTTTTTTTTTTTTCCCCTTTAATATAAACTGGCCTCGAGAACACTTAAAGCTCTCAACATGAATTTTTCAGATCCTAGTAACATTAAATTAATTTACAATTTTCTCATCCCATCCAGAATGAAATAGCTGGCACTGATACCTGCAATCTGATATTTTGGAGTGGCGGGCACGCAGGAAAACAAACCCAGGCTGTAAAAACATTGCTCTTACCAGTTGTTTGTGTTATTTAGCCACCAASCAGGCAACATGGCTGCAAAACAGGGGCTTCTCCTAAAAGGGTGGGAGGAAGAGACTGACTGTTGTTCCCATGACAGATGATGAGGGAATTAGTCAACAGCTACACAGTGACAAACGTTCAAGCTACTGAAAAATAAAAAAAAATATTTCTGGTAGAAGGCGAGCAGGCTGTGGCCAATTTTTAAAAGGAGTCAGAGAACAGGCAGCAAAACGTTCAACCCAGGTTCAGCAGCTCCTGATGAGTAAAGACTTGGAGCTGCTTCCCTGAGTGGCAAGTTAAATATAAACTAAGTTTTTGCAGAAGGACAACCAAGATGAGTGTTTGCTTTCATAGCCCATCCAGCTCTTCCCTCAGCTCACATTCCAGGGACACGTGTGCAGGTGGATGGCACAGGTAACACCTGCTGCCCTTCCTCCGTGCCTGCAGCGACTTCAAAACACAGCTCTGTTGGAAATAAAACTTGTAAAAGAAGGGGAGGAGCACGGGTTGCAAGGGGAATGTTTCTAACCTTTCAAACCTGGTTTAAAAAGCCTCATTCTATCTGATAAAAGCTAAAAAAAATAATAAATTAGAGAATATTGGTTTTTCTRCTCATCCTGCATAACAGGACACAGGATGCCTCACCAAGCCAGACCTCGTTCCTTCCCTTGCTGCCTGGTTTTTGCAGTTGATTTTGCAGCTTCCAGGGCTGGCTGGATTTATTATGGCCATATGGGGTGGGGGAGAGGAAGAAGATGGTGACAGATAACTCATCTCAACCTCTACATCCACTGCAGCACAGGACTTGTCCAGAATCCAGAGCCTTAACCATGGCAACAGCCAAATGCCCAGGGTGCCCTGGGGAATTCCAGTTTAGTGTTTCTGTCCCTGTGTTTGCCTCACTCAGTCATGGCCCTGGGGTGACAGATGTGGCACAGCTCCCCAAGGACAGCCCTGGATGTTCCTGTTCCCAGCTGGGCTCACCAGGGCCCCGGCAGCAGCAAAGGCAGGCGTGGTTTTGAGAAATGAGGAGAACACACGTTTGTGAAAGGTAAAAATTCTGGGAGTGGGGGGAAAAATAAACAGGAGATTTCTGCAGTTGGACCTTGGAGTCTGCACAAGCTCCTGACTCAACCTGAGGCTGAGGAAGAGGAAAGAAAATCAAAAGTATGAGCAAAGGGGCCTAAAGAGCAGCGAGCAACAGGCACAAGAACGCCCCATCAGCTCCTGGTTTCAGGGATGGTGCTGAATATTTAACTCCATAACCTACATGATCACGTTTCCCCAGGTTTTTCATTCCTACCTGAGCAAAGTCCAGGTGGAGAGCACAGTTCCTCCAAAGAATTCTCCCCCTGAGTGGCTGTACATTCACAGTCCCCTCGCTGGACACAGCCTCAGCACTTCCAGCAGGTGCTGGGCTGGGAGAAACCCCAAGGGAAGGGGTCCCACACCAACATCCCCAACAACGGGACCACCAGGAAAAAAACCTCTGCTCTGTTCCAGCACCAAGAGGCTGCTGGAGAGATCCCAGAGCAYGCCAAACCCCCAGGTCACAGCAGCACAGCTCCAGCAGGGCAGGGGGGCTTTCCCCATGCACCCCTTCCCTCCCTCAGGCTCTGTTCACATTCCCCAAGCCCCCCTTATCCCCCCCAAAAGCCAGCAGAAAGGCACGGCACACCCGCAGCCCCACTCCCTGAGGCTTTCCCCCAAAAGGGAGCGAAGGGGAGCAGGAAAAGCCAGCACGGGAGAGGCTCCGGGGGAATCTTCCAGCCCGGAGCAGCTCTGGCTCCCACCCTGCAGCAGCTGCCTGMGCTCAGGAGCTGCCACAGACAGCAATAATGAGATGGCAGCTCCATCCACAACGCTAAATAAATGTCATACCCTTTTCCCGGTTTAATAGCCGTTGCTGAGGCAACCAGGAGTATTCCTTAGCACCACACCCGGCGCAGGATTAAAGGTGGCAAGAGGTCTGGATGGGCAGCGCCAAAACCCTCCCCAGACCCACCACCCACGGGGCTGCTCCTCCCGGCTCCGAGCAGTGTCCTCCGCTCCCCGGGAGCCTGTAAACTGGATATCGAGATGCTCSTGAGGCCAGAAACAAAACACCGCGCATCCCTCCCACCGCCGGCATCCCGGGAGGTGACCTGCGGGGACAGAGCGAGGGCAGGACATGACAACAGCTGCCGGGGACCGACCCAGCGCTTCCCCACAGCGCAGRACTCGGCTCCGGGACTCGGTGTGACACACGGGATAAACGCGGAGCTCGAGTCGGCTCAGCGTAAAACACCGTGTAAACTCATAGAGTTAAGGATGCCTGAGGAGAGGGAGCACGGCGAGACGCGAAACGCCATCACCCTGCACCGGGTGCAGACATTTGGGGCCCCCCTTTATCCCGGCCGGGGTCCCCAGCAGCACCCGCTGCCCCCCGCCCTGCCAAGGAGCGCCGTGCWGCGGGAGGGCTCGTCCCATCCCCGCTCCCGAGGGAAGGATGCAGCAGCGGGAGTCGCCCCTTTTTCCCTGCGGAAAATCCCAAGTTGTGCTGCGCTCTGCCCCCGGGCAGAAGCGATTTCCTGAGGATGCGGGGCGCTGGGATGCCGGGCGCTGCAAGGATGCTCCTCCGCCCCCCGGACCCGCAACCGCGCCCGGTGGGCTCTCGGCGGGGTGGGCTCTGGGCCCCGCTCCGGGCTGGTTTTTGGGGGGCTGTTAGCCCCTCGGTAGCAGCAGCCGGAGCCAGCGGATGCCGCGGGCGGTCGGGCCCGGGCTGGAGCCGCCGCAGCCGCCGCTCCCCGCGGGTACCGGGCCGGGGCTGCTCCCGGGGGTCCCGCACCCACCTCCTTCTTGACGGTGCGCAGCAGCCGCTGCCGGGTCTCCGCCTCTGCGGGGAGAAGAGAACCCGTTAGTGCGGCCCTGCCCCGCCATCCCCGCTCCCGGTGCCGCTCCCCGGTCGCGGTCCCCGCCCGCCTTTTACCCGCCGGGGCCGCCGCCATGGCCGCGTTCGCTCCGCAGCGCCCGCAGACTGCCGGGCACCGGGCCGGGTCCGCCGGGCCGTACCGCCCCCCGCCCCGCCGGGGAGGGGCCGCCGCCGCCGCCAATCCGCGACCGGCACCGGCACCCCGGCACCCCGGGCA